GGATTGCACGAAAACACGACAAAATATATATCCTCGATTTATTGACTGTGCGATTGCGGGGATCGCGACGATACTGAGCCAGCACATGATTTTTAGGATCTTTAGTACAACAGATCGTCGCTCAGGGCGCACCACTACAGCGACGACACTGATAGGAAGCTCGGTTTACCTCGTCTGAGTTCGGTAATCTCCGCTCGGAGCTATTCGGAGACACTCGGCCACGAATTACGATTATCGATTCAAATCCGCGCAGTAGATCCCAATTATTCGTGCGCTAGTCTTCTTATTTTATGAATTTATTATATTTTTGTTGATTATTAATTATTAAGGCCCGATTTTTTAATTATTTTCTTGGGAAGAAAATAAATATGGCGCAGCACTGATTTATTAAATAATAAACTCGAGTTTCTAAAGTCTAATAAATATTTAAAATCTTTTATTTCTTCTTTTAGCTACTAGAGGCGCTGAAACTCGAGTTAATATTAATTTAGAGTTGTAAGTTTTTAATTAATTAATTAATTTGTATATTTATTTTTTAAAGGAGTTACTAGAATTTAATTTTCGCGCGCAAGCGCGCGCCTTGACTATAGAGTTTGCATATATTTTCATGCTTATGATATATTTGACCAATCACGTTACGAATAGTTTGATGCCTCATACATTTCATCTCAAATTTATATTAGGATACGCACTTAGAAGACCAAAAATAGGTATTTTTTAATTATTTTTGCTTTTATAATATTTCTTCTTTATTTAATTTATTAATATCAAAATGGATATATAGAAGTGACTTTGAACTTTATAAAAATGATATTTTTTTTTTAACAAATAATGATTTTTATTTTTACAGCTTCTGTAGACGAAGTTGTGGTAAGCACAACTTAAGTATGAATGAAGAAATAATGAAAATATTTATTCTTAACAAAATGGCGGGTTGACAAAAAAAAAATTGTCAATGAAATTTTTAAATTGCTTACAAAAATATAAAATATTTATCGGAATTATCATTAGATCAATTACTAAGAGAAAAAATAGTTAAGAAAATTTTGTGAAGATTAAACTTTGTAAATTTATTAAGATTTAAATACACAAATACCTTGAAAATTTCCATTACTCGTGTCTAAAAGTTGCAGACACTTTTTAGTTAATTTACCGAATAGGATTAATTGTTACTGAAGAAATACTTTCACCGATTACAAAGTTAGATTATAAATAATCTTTGTCAAAGAAGATAAAAAAAAATTGAGTAAAAAAACTAGAAAGTCAATTGTATGAATTGAATATAAAAAATGTAAATAGTTGACGTTAAACATAAGGCTTTAGTTTTTATCTTATCTATTCGGGCAGTGTAAATACCCCTGAATAAAAAAAAGTATTGAAACAAAGGAAAAAGTATTGAAAAGTATTGGATTGACTAGAAGACCAATACTTTTCAATATTTTTTTCTTTACACGACGTCTTGTCGTATGCAATAGAGATAGATAGAAAATATCAAAATAAGGTATTTTGGTGTGGTACTAAATATAGAAACAGATATTTTATTTAATAAATCCGAGACAACGATAGGTTTTTTTTTTAAATTTAATATAAGTTGGGTATAGGTAAATAATTTTATAAATAAAATGAAAATTGTATTGTGAGTTTATGTGATACTTTAATAGTACTAAGTGTTTGTAGGTAAATATAAAATGATAAATAAATTAAACTATATTGTATGATAATTGATAATATACTATTTTATTTAAGAGTTATGTATGTAGATAATGAAATCTCAAGTGAAGATTTTTTTGGATTGTATAATAAGACACGGGTAGAGAATTAAAACACTAACGAGTAAGCATTTATGACACAGGTGGAAGTCAGAGATATTGAGATATTTTATCTAAGACAAAGCGCAAAACACTTTATTAAATATTTAATTGATAGTCTATTTAAATTATTTCTTCTTTTGTATGATACTAAAATTAGCCGACGTTTTTAATTATTTGATTTTTTATTAATAATTAAATTAAAACAGAAAAATATTTTTAAAAAATTTCACTTACAGTTTTTGAAGTTCTTTACAAGTGACATTTTTTTAAAAATTTTTTTGTAATAAATTTTTTAATAAAAAAAAATTCTAAAAATTTTCAAATGTCGGCTAACTTAATTTTCATTCTTTTGTCTGTATTTTTTAATTTTTTTTAATGAAAATTAATTAGTAGAAATTTTTTTGATAAACTTTTCTTCTTGAAGTTAATCTTTGAAGAAAATAATAATAATAATAATAATAAACTTGAAGAAATTTTGTATGTGTGTATTTTGAACATCCGGTCTCGGCGCCGCTATCCATGCAAACTATATACAAATAAACTGAGTGTACATGCATACTTATTCGTCATACACACTCTCAACACTTTTGAAGACGACCATATATCTTTATATAAATATAAATGTGTATTTATGGATCTATACACACATACAAAAGAAGAATATGTGTCTAATACATAAGTATGTAATATAAATGTAAGTAAAGTATATAGTTGTCTTAGGGGACCGGACAAAGAAAGTGAAGCTAAACCGAGAGCAGAGTCAGAGACCGGCGTTTATCCACACTGTAATGGTTTATACGATAATCACTCCTGACGTCAAATATCAAATGATTTCGCAGCGTGAATCGGGCTGCCCCGTGAATTATCCCCGAGCTAGATTGAATGATGGCAGTGAAGCTAAGTTGGCCGACAACCACTTCAACATAAATAAGACGGCACTCACTACTCTACTACTGTATGCTATATACTCGTGAGCGGTGCTTTTCTCTCGTTGTGAGACACATGTTGTAATATAACACATCACCCTGTGTGTACACCACATACCATACTCTAAATCACCAGCAACATATCATAAGCCACCGTCGCATCACATTCGATATGAAGTCAAGTCACAGACATTGCTATCATCATTTATTTCACCGTCTATGCTACATCATCATTATCATTAAGTAAAAAGCAAGGGAAGAGTACATTTGTACATCGAAGGATTTAAAGAAGTATTCCGAATTACTAATTTTATCTTTTACATCATTAAATTTTAGAACATCAATTTTATGATCACATTTTATTAAGTTATATTTTTATCAAATTACAGTTAATAAATAAAATACAGTAATATAATTTAATTACATTAATTTTTAATGCTTTCCTTAATATAACAAATTATAAATTAATTTTTCTTAGGAATGTGAATGGTAACTGAATATAAAATCACTATTACATTGTTTTAAAAGTAAATCGTCATGTACACGGAGAAAAGTAATATTTGTTATTCTATACGGTAACCAGCCTCATTTTTAATAAAATTGTAAATTATATAATCTATGATAAGATTCATTACCATTTTATGATAATTAATTATTATGTTACACTGTAACTAAGTAAAGAGTAAATATTACTATTATATCATTTCTAGGAATTGAAGCTGTGTAGAATATGCTACTCAGTCCTATGTTACATAGATTTCATTAATTTAAATAAATGAGTTACAATATAACTAAAAAATATTGATAATAACGAAGTATTGGTATTGATCATGACACTTAGCACAAAAGTCAACAATAATATTTATGTAAATATTTTAATTAAATATTAAGTAGCCATCGAGTTCTTATTGCGATAATTTACAGTAAATTTTTCATTTTCTTCAGTTTGCTTCGATTTAATAATAAACTTTATTACTTTTCAATTTTTTTAAACTGAAATTGCTTTTATCAAAATTTATAATTTGCTTTTTTATAAAAATAAAAAAAACTATTCATTACATTTTTATTTAATGAGTTTAAGATTGTTTTTAGTTTTTTTTTTTTAAATTGTTCACTTATTGATTGAATTTTAATATACATCCAATCCATAATAAATTTATTTATTTATTAATGCATAACCTTACTGATTGAATTATAAATATATAGGAGATAATTAATGAAATTATGTAAAACAGGGATTAGTTGGATTGTTATAATATTATTCTCAATGTAGAATGATAATAATTACTATGTTAACATAGCCAGATGAGTCACTATCAAGAATTGAGAAAATTAATCTGTCAAGGAATTTTCGCCTTTAAAAAATCCTCGTTACCATCTTAAACAGTAATAATTACCATTTTACATTGAAAATATAACTATTATTTCTTCTTTCCATGTTAAGTAATGAAAAAGAGTTTAATTTCGATTTTAATTGCGCTAAAAAATTAAAATTAAAAAGCTCAATTTTTAAATCAATAAATCACTGACAAAAATTAAAAGATTAAAAAAAAAACCAATTCTTCTTTTCACTGTTTGCATAATATTTTCTCTATAGCTTCTACAAGCGTCACGACGCCGGTTTTATTAAGTTAGGTTAAAAAATCCTCGTTACCATCTTAGATAGCAATAGTTACTATTTTACATTGAAAATATAACTATTATTTCTTCTCTCCGTAGTGCTCTAAGTTTTAAAATTACAATTTAGAATTATTCATTCAAATTAAGCACTTGAAAAATTAATTATTAAACATAATAAAAAAATTCTTAAACACCATTTTTGATTCACAGTCGCAGAAACTAAAAAAAATAATACAAAGGTTTAAGACTACTGTAATAGTAAGTACTTTTTTTTCTATCTATAACATGATAATTGTATATATGATATATATTAAGTAGTTATTAATTAAATATTAAACATTAATGGACTTGCTTACAGTAATATTATTTAACTTAAGTGTTTATTGACTAGACACTTGATTAAATGTTTTATTTACTCGTCTCAAAACAGTATTTGAAAAAGATACGAGTAGAGATAAAAAGCACGAGCCTTCTTGATTGTCTAAGCTAACTGGCGTTTTTCGCCTCTTAATACTTTTAAACGGCTCCGAAAATCTTGGCAGTGACACTTTATTGGTTCCAAAATTTGTTGTTGTCTTCTTTGAAACTATACAAAAAATTCCGGTGATTTTTTTCGGAAGTTCAAACAAACAACAAACGGATGTCATTCAACGCAAGTTGCCGATCTAATTAAAGGCGTAGCATCGCATCCATCGACTTCTTCACTGGATTGCACGATTCTTTTTTGGGAGCTCAAAATCATAGAACCATGTCTAGGGCTGCTGGGAGCCGAGCGACAATTGCCGTCCAACGAGATTTTATTATTACCAAAGTACAATGCCCTTCTAAAATACTGTTCGTCATTACAAATGTTGTTAATCATGTCATTTTTATGATTGTCGTCCGACTCGCACAATTGTTCAACGCACGGACAAGAATTGCTGGAGGATCTTGAGCTTTCCATGCAATTAGAACGGATGGAACAGAGTCCTTTACCCTTGCAAGGGCTGCTGTCGACAATACACTCCAGTTCATTGCTGATAACGGGACAGTTTTTGTTCAACTGATCAGAACTGGAGAATCTGAGCCGCTTGGGCGACTCGCTGGAGCATCTTAAGAAAGTGGTGCGCGTTAATGACTTGTTTTTCAAAGAACTCTTCGGGACCAAAAGATCTTGGACCGCTTTCTTCCCTCCGACGCCATTTCTACGCTCCCATCGATCGTTGGTGCGTTCTGCCCTCTGAATTGGATCTTCGCCTATCAACCAGTAAGTCAAACGCTCTCCTTTTCCTTTCATTGAAACTATTCCTCGTTCTACTAACTTGAATCCGCCCAATTTATCCAGGAGTTTTTTTGTTTCTTGACTACAGTGGATTTTTAATGCTGTTGAAATAAAGTTTTATCAAAATTTGCTAATTGAGTCATTGAGAAGTTATGGAGATCCTTGTCAAGTTATCATTGATGCAATAATTAAAAATTCATGATATGAAAATATAAAGGTTTATAATTTAAATAATTTTTTTATTACATTAATTTAAGGCAAAACACCACTGTGACAGTAGAAAAAAAAGGTGATTTTCGGAAATTTTTTTGACAGGGACAATAAAGAAACTTGGGGATCGAATTTTTTTTATTATATTGAGGGTACATTAGAGATTATTACCCGAAATTTTTACTTTATTTTTTTAATTAAGAAATTTTAATTTTAAAGATTTTTTTAGCCGGATTAAAACGAAAAACAGTAAACATAATGAAAAAATTTTCAATCAGTCGCCATTTTTTTGAAAATTAAATTGTTTTCCATCTGTTTAAAAATATCGATGACATTCGAATTCTTTTGAAATAATTTAAATTCTTTTTTTGTATATATATATATATATATAAATATACAGTTTGCATTGAGCGATCGCTTTTCAATTAATATTTTTAATCAAGGCTATTAATTTTCATAGAGTTTTAAATTTGAAAAATAATAAAAGTCTAGATTATACATGGAACTAAATAATTCAATATTTCTTAAAAATATCTTCAAAAGCAGCATATAATAATTTTACAGAATATTAATGATAATTTATAATTCTATAGTTTCACAAAATTATTCGAAATTTTGAATTCTCTGAAGGGAATTTCTAACAAATTTCTTAATCTGCCCATAAAATATTAATAAATTACTCCATAATTCCTTCAATTAATTTTGCAAGCAGAATAAGAAAAACTTCATGATATGTATGACAAATTTTTTCAAACCGATCAAATTGAATCTTACTATTCGATTTGAACAAGATTCACACTCCTCTAATTTAAATGTAATTGTAATTTGCATACTCTTTCACTAAACAATACTATAAAAATATTGCTGCTAGACTTGCTCGAAAAAATAGTAATTTTTTTGGATAATTAGTCGATTAATATTGACTCACCAGCTCCTGTAGATTCCATTCGACTGGCAGTGTTAACAGTATCACCAAAAAGGCAATACCTTGGCATTTTCAAGCCAACAACACCGGCACAAACTGGTCCAGAATGAAGACCTATTCTCAGTTGAAGTTTTTCTAATGGCCGGTGACGAATAGAGAATTGCTTTATTGCGTCTAAAAGACATAATGACATACTGGCTATTTCTCCAGCGTGTTGGATACCATTTCTGATAGGTAGTCCACTGACCTAAAAAAAAATATGTATGTATATAAATATGTGTTTTATTATTTACTTACTGAATTATCAGTGGTAGTTTGTTATCTCTCACGGTTCATTATGTTATTTTTATAGGGATGACAGCCAAGACAAACCACTTAAGGATTTTTATTAGCTTATAAATATACCAACAGAGTATTTTTATCACATTTTATCTAAAAATACATTTCCTGTCATATATTTGATAGATTTAAAGAATAATAACATTACCGTCGAGCAAACAAAAATTACTTTTTAATTTATAGACTTTTAATTTTATTGTGATAACTGTTTCATTTCACGGTCACCCTTTTTTTGTTCATCAAAAATAAAAGAGTTGATTGATGGTTCTCAAAGTGTTTATGGCTGTCATTATGACTACTGTGAATTAATAGTTAAAGCTATAGCTTTAGTATACTAAATTATTTTTTAATATTAAAAAGATAAATTTGTTTAAAACCAACAAAATGTTTCTTCGCTAAGAAAGTAAAATAATAATCAATAAATACAACACAGAAAAAAAAATTCTTACACCAAGAAAATTTTAAGGAAGACAAAAGTTATTTTGGAGCAAGAAGAAATTTTCTTGGCTCAAGAAATTTTGATTTAATTCAGAAATTTTCAATCTTTCTTAATATTTTCTTGAGCTTATAATATGAACTTTCTGTAAATTAAAAAAATCTTCTATAAATGATGATTTTTTTGAAGAATTTGATTATTTTTAACTGAAAATTTTTTTTGGCTTAACTTTTACTTGATTCAAAATTTTCTCTACTTGATTTGAAATAGAGAAAATTTTCAAAGTCTTAATTACAATTTTTTTGAAGATATAATTATAAATAATTGTTTCGTTCGTTTATTTGTAAATTATTTTTCGGCCTATTTTTATTGAACTTTTAAAAAATTTATCAATAAAAAAGTGCGCAGTGATTCTAAAAATAACAATTTAATTTATTCATGTTACTTGTAATTTCATCATATATTTTCAAAGTTATATCATTAAATTGCTTTTTTTTTAATTGAAAGTTCGCAATTATGTACTGTTAAAAAATTAACTTGATTCAAGATTAAAATCAAAGAAAGACTTTTTTGAACGAAGACAATTTTCTGTATCCAAGAAATTCTTCTCTTGAATTAAAACAATTAAATAATTGTTTGACAATGAATTTTTCAGATTGAAAAATTTATTAAAAATTATCAGTAAGTATTTTTGATTTATCTTTGAAGCTGAAAAAAATGTCAAGAATTTTCTTTTTCATTGAGGAAGAAATAAATACGTACCACCATATAAGCATCACCAATAGTTTCAACCTTGTAAACATCATAATTTTCAATGGTAGAATCAAAACAAGTATAAAGATCATTAAGAAAATCAACAACTTGTAACGGCGTGCTTTCAGCAGACATCGACGTAAATCCAACAATATCACTAAAATAAATGGTGACACAATCAAACCCTTCAGCTTCGACTTTATGGCCTCGTTTTAATTGCTCAGCAACATAACGGGGTAACATTTCATATAAAAGCGCATCGGTTTTCTTCTTTTCTTCTGTCAACTGATCCGTACGTTCATCTACAAGAGCCTCTAAATTATTGGCGTACTTCTCCATCATCGCCATCATATTATCAAAAATATTTGGCTTCATTCCTTTCCTCAGAGGCCGTAATTTGTTTCGTATTATCTTAAAGTCTGGACGGCTCTCAGGATCTTCTGCCCAGCATTCGATCAAACAGTCGCGTACAAAGTCGAAGCAATTCTCCAGCTGATCGACTGACGGTCGGAAAGGAGGTACTCCAACATCTCGGACAATAAGCCGCTTCAAAATTTCTGGAGCTGATAGCTCTGTTATACCGAAAGGTCCATGCCGACCGTGAAGTTCATACAGCACGATTGCGAATGAATACACATCTCCTTTTTGATAATCGCGCACTGTTGGTTCTTCTATCGCTGTTGATCTCAGTAATTCTGGCGCTTTATAAAGCAATCCTGTGGATAAGTTTTTTAATAATTAATTTATAATTCTGTAATCTAATATTATTTTATTGAAACTTTACCTTGATATTTCTTCATGACATCTTCTGGGTCACACTCAGCATCTTTTTTGAACTCCCGGAGACCAAAATCAGCTAGCTTCACCACCCAGCGTGAATCGACGAGACAATTTGAGGTACTTAGGTTGCCGTGATATTTTAGAACTGATTCATGAAGATACACCATGCCCTGCAATGTAAAGAAGAAATCAGGAGTAAGCAATATGCTTAGTATGATTAATTTTTTTGATAAGTTAAACTCTGACTTAAGAAAGTTAGGTGCAGTCAGCGGTATAAAAAATCTATAAGTATTTTTATTAACCTTTTTTTACTATATTAATAATATCAAGTTATTATATTTTAACTCTTTATCTATTATTTCACTCGAAATTAATCAAACAAGGAAAATCATTAGTTTAAAAGTAAATCTAGTAATTGATCAAAGCTTTTCTTTAATTTGGAAATGGAAATTAAGAAAATTTTAAAGTTTAGTAGTTTACTTAAAAAAAAAAAAAAATTTCACATGTAAAAAACTTGAAAAACTACAAGTGCAATTTTTTAGAAATATTTTTTTAGTTGTAATTTAATTTAAAAAAAAATCAAAAATTTTTAGACGTCTGCTAACTTCAGTGTCATAATTTTTTAATTAAAAAAAATGATAACTCAAAAATTATTAATTTAAAAATTAAATAATTACAAATTAATGAAAAAAAAAAATTAATTTATCCTCAAAAAATTAAAAAAAAAATTGTTTAATTAAAATTAAAATTTTTTTATTATAAAATAGTTTAAAAAAGGACAAAAAACAAAAATCAATATTTTTGTAATCTGATCACACCTATCCCTTAAAGACGGAAAATTATCACAGATTTTTCCAAACAGAAAATTCTATTTATACCAAGACTAAATTAATTCCCAAGTTTACTGAATTTGTTTTCTACCGTAATAATTCTTTCTATTAAGTAAAAAGTTCATTAAGTCACCATCTCAAGCTTGAAATTGTCCTTTTTTTCGAATTTTACAATTGGACCATTTGCTTGACAATAGTTACAAGGTAAAAATCAAATCAAGGTCTCTCGATACGTACATATAAGTTCCCAAAAAAAGAACAAGATTAAATTAATTAAAAAAAAAAAAAAATTCTCTGCTCCGGAAGAATGAAAAATAATAGTTAATTGCAGGAATTTAATTCTTATCTCCGGCTTTTAAATTACATAAAAATATTTGATACAGTGAGGGATAAAAGATTTTAATCAACGTAACAGCCTTTAGAAAATAGGGGAGTGCCGAGTATAATAGGACCGTTGAGAAAATATTGAAGGTAGATAAATATGAATTTTATTATTATTAAGAGCTAAAAAATATTATTGTTATTTTTCTCGAGGGCTGCAATCAGAACTAATATTTATTACATTTAAAAGCAATATCTTTATCATTTGAATAATGGATTTTTGTAAAAGTTTGTTTAGTATATTTAAATAAATAAATTTTTCGCTCCCTTGGAAACTATTGAGTTGTGAAATTGAAGAATATAAGCCTATTTGTATTCATATTCACAAAGCAATACTCATATCATAAAATGGAAATTTATTTTCTTCAACCCTCGTTACTTTCAAACTAAAAATATATATTATATATTTATACATTAATAATACATAATGAAAAAACTTACTTGAATAATATCCGCGACCAGAGAAGCCATGAACATATTGTCCAGTTTCATATCTTCATTTTCCAAAATATCTTTCAAGCTACCTCTGGGACAATATTCCACAACAATACAAATGTTAGGCGGATCAGTGCAAGCCCCAATAAAAGCGTTCAAATTGTCATGCCTGAGATCGCGCATTATCTTCAATTCTTTCTTCATTTCCCTCGTAATCTCAATAGATTTTTTACGGACTTTTTTAACCGCAAACATCCTACCCTTGTAAAATCCAATCTGGGTGTAAATCATTGAGTAGCGGAAATCCGCGTCGGGGTTTGAGCTCAGAGATACTTGGCTCGTTCTTACAACAGGCTGAAAATCAACAATCAATCCTCATTATAATTAAGAAATGACTTTGTATCTTTTGAACTATTGACATTTTTTTAAATATAAGCTCACCCCGACATTACACTCATCAAGACCTTTCATTTGAGTACCCACATCAATTTTTCATATATTTATATATATTATATATATGTATATATGAAAAATATATAAAAATGCATGTGGGTACTCAAACGAAAGCTCTTTATGAGTTTAACATTGGGATGAGCTTATATCTTTGAAAATATCAATAGTTAAGAAAGTACAGTGCAATTTAACATAATTAAGAAACGACCTTGTATCTTGTGAACTATTGACATTTTTAAAGATATAAGCTCATCTCGATGTTACAATCATCAAGACCTTTCATTTAAGTACCCACATCGTTTATTCATATATTTATATATATTATATATATGTATATATGAAAAATATATCAAAATGCATGTGGGTACTCAAATGAAAGCTTTTGATGAATGTAACATCGGGATGAGCTTACATCTTTAAAAAGCTCAATAGTTAAGAAAATAAAGTGCTATTCAACAGAAGTCATTATTTAATAAATAACGTCCTGATAAGAATTTGTGTCTTTTCACGGTTTTATATATTTTTCAGTGATAGTCAATTTTTTATGTTAAGTTTTTGGAGCAGTTTTGAATAGTTTGTTGGCTCTATAAATTTGTTCCGTCACATTTGTCCATTAAATTATTTGTAATTGATCCTGCAATAGTACTACTATTTTTAAAATTTATTTCAAAAGTACCCAAAGTATCTATTGTGTGATTATAAATACAACAAAATCATTAAATCAAAGTTTTCTTATTCTTAAACTTATTCTTATTATTAGTAAAAAAGAAAAATTACCTTAGAATGTGTCTTTGCTTCACAATTAACATTTTCATCCTTATTTTCCCGTATTTGAATGTCCTTATAATTGACTTTCCATAAAAGTGAATCCAATTCTTGCTCATATTTCCAATTGCGATAAAGAATCAACGAAATTGATATAAAAATAATGAGTAATCCTCCAGCAATTCCACCGACTATTTCTCCAGTGTGAGCTAAAAATTATCACCTCGTTAAAAGTCAGTAAATTTTAGAGAATTGCAATATATTAAAATGATAATAATAATAATAAATACATTACCATTACACTTTTCATCGTGATATCCGCAGAGTGGTTCAGCAAGAGGCGGACCATTACCCAGCCACATAATTTCTTTTGTCAGTCTTAATTTCTAAAAGAAAAAAATTTTACTAATAAATTGAAGCAAGTTGAGACAATTTATCAATAATATTTTAGCATTGAAGCAAAAAATCAGAGCAGCAGTTGGCTCCAAAAGCTAACAGCTTAAACTCTGTTCTCTACTCGAGAAGTTGAAATAGCCATCAAAGAAAATTGAGGGATGGGAAGAACTATTACCCCACTCGTCTATCGATTCGCAAAATATTACACGGACTTCTCTCTACATTATTCAATAACTTATTGTATCCCTATCACTATCTCTGGTCATCACAAAAGTAATATTTGAATAATAAATAGAGTCAATACTTCATTGGTATTCAAGTTTCGTGTTAGTAAAAAAAAGTAAACTTACAGGCAGGCTTGTTACTTCTTCTTTTCCAATAAAGTAACCGATGGGATACAGCCCGTGCCCGGTGTCCGAACGATTGTCCAGAGAAATCAGTGTGTAATTTCCTTCAGCGTCACCATTTTTATCCATGTATACCATGTATCTGTGGAAATTATTTATTGATTACTTCATTGATAAAATTTAAGTTCATTTTATTAATAACAATAATTTTAAAAAGTTTAGAAAATCTAAAAATGCACAATTCATATAATGATCATTGAATTATTTATTAAAAATATTCTTTATTGGAAATTGATCAAATAAAGAGAAAAAAAAAATTTTATTTGAAATTTAAAGAAGAAATTAACAGACATTACCATTTTTTTTTTCGATTTTTGGAACAATTAAAATATGATGAAAAAAAAAAGTTCCAAATGTAGAAAATAAAAAAAAATTATAAGTGCGAATTTTTTAAAATATTTCTGTTTTTCATAAATGATTTATTATAAAAACTTTCAGTGTATGTTTTAGATATAATAACGAAGAAAATATTAGTTTAGTTTTTCATTAATTATAAAAAAACAAAACCGAGTCAGACAGCCATTTAAGATAATGAACATTTAACAATCAGACATCTGACAATTTTTAAGATTTTTCTAATTACAAAAAAAAATTTTTTTTTAATTTTTACATGTAGAAGATTTGAAAAACTTCAAGTGGAATTTTTTAAAAATAATTTTTTTATTTCTTATTTAATTAATAAAAATTTTTTTAATGTCTGCTGATTTCAGTATCATTTAAAATCCTAAATCTTTCTTAAATAATGGATTTTTTTATCAACTTATTGTTTCCAAACTCCGAAGATTTTTCTATTGCAAAAACAGGAACAAATTTGTTAATTTATTTTAATGATATTTTTTAAACTTTAACACTCACTAAATTTTTTAAATTTGTAGAAATAATTTTAATTAAATTATCTTTTTGAGGATACACAAATTATTTTAGATCTGTAAGCTAACAAGACAATAACAATAAAAATAATTGCAAAAAAGAAAGCGAAAAAATTTTTTTGATGGTAGTGCTTCTTATTATAAGTCGTACAAAAGTGAAAAAAAATAAATACACACCCCATAGCGCTGTGATAATGAACCCCGTGAAGTGCTTCAACCATCTTGCGACCATCTCTAGGATCACGACCCTCATTTAAGGCAGCTAGAAGAGATCTTTCATAGAGATGAACAGCGTCGTAGAGATAAGCCGTCTCTGGTACTATCTACTTTGAAAGAAAAATAAAAAATATAAAAGTGGGTATAGTAGCAGTTGACTACATAACCGTCAATAAAATTTTTATGATAATTGTAGTATGGTGTCTCAAGTCACCTGAACTATTCCGCCAACGTTCGCCAGTGGATTACTGAAGTTGAAGGGTGGCTTCTGTCTGTACTCGTGAATTAATCTGGTAAAGTTGTCAAAGCTTACTGGAGCCGAAGCTACGATACTAAAGTAACTTCTGTAAGCACGAAGAACTGAAAGATCCGTCTGCTTTTGCCACAGACCACGAAGATACTTGTCGGGTTGTTGTTCGTCATACTGTTCCGGGTCCACTCCAACTACCCAGTAGTCTCCTAAGGTCAATAATAAAGTATTAAATCATATTGTACATTTACATAATATTTACAACTAACTAACTTCTTTTTTTTTTTTAATTTTTTTTTCTAGATTATTTGTGAGGTCAAGTTTTTTTCCCATTGGAAATGTCAATAATTATATTTATAGGGGTAGATAAAATGATTCACTTTATTAACTTAACAGCTACCCGGTGAGGCAGACTTATATTGATATGATGTAATAATAATAATAGTTTAACGAAGTTAAATTTGTGACTAACTTTGATTTAAAATGTGAAGATGATAAATTATATAAATTGGTAAATAATTAAAGCTCACTCGGGAGAAATTAAGCGTTTTAATAAGCAAAACAACAAAATTTATGAATATCCAATAAATTGGAAAAAGCAGATGGTTGTAACAGTTTGCAATTTCTGTGCTTGTAGTTTCTTATCCACAGTTTCGATATAATTTAAACAATTGAAGATAATCATAAATATTAAAATTTTTAAGGATTTTAATTTAATGATTGTTATACTGGAAAACTTTTGAAAGTTATTTGAATGAATAAACTTGAACGATAATAATTTAGTGACATTAATATACGAATAAAATATTAGCAACGCCTCATTAATCATAATTTCATGCACTTAGAATATGAAAAAGAACAATTTTTTAGTATTTTATTTTAAATACTTGTGTTTCTACTTCACTGAAATAGATTAGATTTATTTTACATTGTACAACAGTAAGAACTGGTTTTTACAATTTTTCATCACAGTATTTTATATTAATCTTCATCTTATTAAATAATTAAAGCTCTGGTTCTAGCACCACTTGTTACTCAAATATTTTATATTATCAATTTATCATTAATATCACTCTTTACTATTTTAAGTTTTAAATTTTTTAATTATTTTAAATTAAATTACACTACATTAAAATTTTTGCAAATTAACTTTTATAGCACTACTTATCTATATTATACCCTGAATTCACGATATTTATTGACGATACTTAATTTATAATCTAAATAATTAAGAAAATAAGGAAAATTTTTTAACGGGGAAAGTTTTTATTTTAAAAATAATTTTTTTGTTAAATTTTTGGAGAAGTTTTTAATAGTTTGTTTGTTCTATAAGTTTATTTTTGAACATATTAAAATAATTTTCAAAATTTATTTAAAAAATATCTAAACTATTTATATTGTGAATAAAAATATAAAAAAAATAACAGCAAGTTTCTGTTCATTATAATTTTTCAATACTTTTAAAAATTAAAGTGATAAAATTCAACAAAAGATTTTAGTTTTAAAATTTACAGTTATTACACAAGCGCTGATTGTGCCAATAAGTTATTTCGTTCCAGATATTCTGTCTGCGGGTCATATGTTACAGAACTAGAATACAGAAAATTGTGGAATAGAAGAAACCGGGTTGATACATAATTAAGTTCTTGGCTTTAAGTTAAATTATGTAGTTTGATTAAATGGTTGCAATTAAAATATCTTCTTGTAAAAGAGTTTTCAAAATAAATTAAATTTTAATTGAAAATTTATGTACTGTGTCTAATCTTGGTTTAATGAATAAAAATATAATAATCAAATAATAATAACAATAAAATAAAGTAATAGTTACCATTTTCAAGTAATTTTTTGTCATTTAATGCCATCAGGAGACCCATGTGCTCATAATAGTTGCCAAGTATAACATATACTAAAACAAATAAAAAAAAATATATGTGTATATTTAAAATATATAAGAGTCAATATATTTGTAGAACGAATGAGCTCGAAAAAAGGAAATAGTAAATTATAGCTCGTTAGTTACGGCATCCGTTTCTTGGACAATATCCAAATGCTTCAGCCACTTCTATCTGTTAAAAGTTTGAATATTCAATGGCTAGTATATAGTTTATGGTATTAAGTATATAGATGGAGATGGAAAATGTTTAACCATTTATTTTCCGAGTTTAGCTTACCAGAAAAATGAAAACGGACCGTGAAAATTGTTCTTAGCTGTACGAAAGAGTTGATAAAAATATTCCCGAGTATGGAGTTTCCAACACACATTTATTACTATCACTGGAAAACATTGTAAGAAAAATAATAATTTGTGAAGAGAGTGTCACGTAAATATTCTAACAAAATTTTTAGCGAGTCGTAAAGAAAAAAATAGAAAAAATAAAGACTTTTTCAAACCCTCGATCAGGTCGACGGTACTAAGAGACCAATGATCTAATAAAACCGCGTCGCGACGCTTGTAGAAGCTATAGAGAAAATATTATGCAAACAGTGAAAAGAAGAATTGGTTTTTTTTTTAATCTTTTAGTTTTTGTCAGTGATTTATTGATTTAAAAATTGAGCTTTTTAATTTTAATTTTTTACCGTAATTAAAATCAAAATTAAATTCTTTTTCATTACTTAACTCGGAAAGAAGAAATAATAGTTATATTTTCAATGTAAAATGGTAAATATTACTATTTAAGATGGTAACGAGGATGTTTTAAAGGCGAAAATTCCTTGACAGATTAATTTTCTCAATTCTTGATAGTGACTCATCTGGCTATGTTAACATAGTAATTATTATCATTCTACATTGAGAATAATATTATAACAATCCAACTAATCCCTGTTTTACATAATTTCATTAATTATCTCCTATATATTTATAATTCAATCAGTAAGGTTATGCATTAATAAATAAATAAATTTATTATGGATTGGATGTATATTAAAATTCAATCAATAAGTGAACAATTTAAAAAAAAAAACTAAAAACAATCTTAAACTCATTAAATAAAAATGTAATGAATAGTTTTTTTTACTTTTATAAAAAAGCAAATTATAAATTTTGATAAAAGCAATTTCAGTTTAAAAAAATTGAAAAGTAATAAAGTTTATTATTGTTGGCTTTTATGCTAAGTGTCATGATCAATACCAATACTTCGTTATTATCAATATTTTCTAGTTATATTGTAGCTGGCTCCGTAACAAAATAACCTCAGACAAAATAACCGTACGACAAAATAACTGTGGATAAAATACCCGTACGACAAAATAACCGAACGACAAAATAACTGTGGATAAAATAACCATACGACAAGTTCTTATTATTTTGCTGTGGCTTTTCTTTCATGGTTTTTGTGTGTATTTATTCAACATTAAACCAACACAAATGCGGGTAATCGTGTTGTGCCCTTTTAACATGGTTTTTGTGTGTATTTATTTAACATTAAACCAACACAAATGCAGGTAATTGTGTTGTGCCCTTTTAACATGGTTTTTATGTGTATTTACTCCAAAATAGGCGTGTGTATTGATGCAAAAACATTTCTATTATGGAGTTTTATTATAGGATCCCATGTATTTGGAAATCAAATGAATGGGTTTGCGCACACTTGCCCTACATGATCCTTATATTTTGTCGTCCGATTATTTCATCATTTGGTTATTTTGTTACATAGTTATAATGTCGTTCAGTTATTTTGTCCACGGTTATTTTGTCGCGGTTATTTTGTCTGCGGTTATCTAGTCGCGGCACCGAATCTTATCATAGATTGTATAATTAACAATTTTATTAAAAATGAGGCTATTTTCTATTTTCTTATCTCTGTAAATCATACACGTCGCTATTTTCCTTACTTCTAAAAGATTTAAGCAATGTAATCCATATTGAAAGTGTAACATTCTAATTCTAAAAATACCATCATAGCGTAATTAAATAATACGTGGAAAAAAGTGTACGCGTTGAATATTTATGTAACAGTTTATTTTTATACGACAAAGAGTAAAGAGTAATGAAAAAGGAAAAAAAGTATAAAAAAAACGTCGGCATCGTTAATATAGTCCCTCTTTGGGATAACGAGGCTTCAAATAAAATAACTAAACGCACGTGCGTTTTGATAACCTGCCGGGTATATAATGTACATTAAACACAGTACATTACAGTTTAGATGTGAAGGGAGTATAAAGCGAATAAAGAGCACGTGGTTGCCACATTAGTCGGCATGTAGTCGACTTATTCGCGAATAAATCCGACGTATTCCAAGCACGGTACTACTATACGTGCATGACTGTCATGCGGGCTTAGCTACTACAATACAAGTGAGAGTCTCCGAGTCTAATAAATATGTCAAGTCCGACAATCTTACATTCTTGTGAATTGTGTGTCATATATACATAAATCGTTAAGTGCATCTCTTTTAACTTTTAATAATTACCATTTTATATAACCTTTCAAAATATCAACTGTTTTCCTTATCTTCAACGAAATTAATTATGGTAATAAATCTCTGCAAGATGTCTCAATTGAAAAATTCATTGTCTTTAATTTTGATGTTTTTGTTAAGCTCATATTTAAAAAACAAACTTTAAATTTAATGACAAGCTTTTTCAGTGCATTAATGATATAAATATCAAAAAAATAAATATACTTCATTTTTTTTATATTTTTAAATGTTGGTTTTAAAAAATTCTCGCTTCTTTAACTTAGAGAACGTCATTTTCAAGTATAGTTCTTGTTGCGATTCACTACTGCAGCCATCTCTTGGAACTTTCCGTAAACACAAGTGATAACTAAAAAATATGACGTAAAATTTGCTACATAACTTAAAGTAGTTCACTCATAAATGCAAATCTTTAAGAAGTTTTCGAGATTTTAAATATTAGTAATAGAATACACAGAAAAAAAATGTTCTTATATCAAGAAACTTGCAGTAAGCACTGATTGTAATAAATCTTAAGTTAAAAATTATTAATTGTGGCTGAAAAAAAATCGAATTTTTTTGAATCTATCAAATTGATTAAACAATAACATGATACTAAAGTTAGCCGACATTTATAGTTTTTTAATAATTAAATTAAAACAAAAAAATATTTTTAAAAAATTGCACTTACAGTTTTTAAAGTTTTTTACAAGTGATATTTTTTTTTTAATTTTTTTGTAATCATTTTTTCAATAAAAAAAAATTCTAAAAATTTTTAAATGTCGGCTAACTTAATTTTCATAACAATAACTTATTTTCATAGTATAATAAATAAATAAATCAAGTACATAAATAGTAAAATAAAAAATGTGTTTTTATGGCCTTACTTACTTCGCGTTTCACGATAAGTACTCGCAACGAGCTCATGGAACGGATTGTTCATGTGAGTGACGTGATACGGCTCCTTCCAACAGCGGAGATAATTTACAGAGATTCCAGACGACTCAAATGAATCCAGAATCGTCATCGCTACGCTTGACATTTTGTTATTGAACTCAAATAAACTTGAATTCATGTACATAAATGTGACCTGGTGATAAAAATTTATTAGTACCATTAGAAAAGATATTTTTAAAAGTAAATCATTAAACTTTTATGAATGAACTTTACTTACTTTTGTCCAGTTAAACGCTAGTAATACTGAAACGACGGATTTTGATATTTGGGTGTCTGGCGGGCGAGTCCTGGCGAATGTCGGAAATTCAATCTTGTTTGATGTTTCCTGATGTGTGCAGAACTGAAAAAAATTTATTATATTATAAGTATTTCAATATCAAACTTTTATATTTAAGCTTGATTTATTGTAAATTTAAGAAGGTTCATTTAACTCATCTTGTCTTCTATTCTCATTCTATTACATAAGCCAGGTAATTTATCACCTGGGATTCGAGAACTTATTTTTCACTTTACTTTCCATTAGATTTAGTCTATTGATGAGCTGCTTTTAATATTTACTTTCGATTAATTAAGTGAAAGCCATCATTCAACTATAATGTAAAATTTTATTTTAAAAAATTATTGATTTTTAATTTTACCGCCAAAAATATTTCAATCCATAAAAATAATTTTTAAATAAATAAAAAAAATAAATTTTTAAAAAATATCAATTTTTTGACCAGAAAAATTTATAAAAAATTGACTTTTTAGAAATTTTTTGTTAATTAAATTAAAATCTTTAAAACTAATTAAAAAATTTTTTTTTACTTTTGTAAATTTACCGTAAGATGAAATAATTTGAAAAAAATAAAGTATGATATAATAAGTTAACAGCGTAATCTTATTCTTCTTCCTTCCTTTTGACCAAGTTAACTAATAACTTAGAGCTTATCGCAACTACATAATTAATGCAACTTACTGCGCCTTGTTTCAGGACGGAAAAGAGTTAATAAAAATAATAATAAAAATAAAATATTCTCTACTGGTTCTCACTTATAAATAATAGCCCAATCTGTAAACATTTTCACTGAATCCCAAACAGTTTTATGTTCTACGTCCTTTTTTTACGATCAATAAGATTCAATCAAACGTACATTTTTATTCAATTTATACACAAAAGTTTATATATTTTATCCAAGTAACTTTGCGATTTTCACATGAATTGTTTTAGTGCATTTGTCGTATTGAAAACGAGAAGTATAGCTTCATCGGTAAATTAAGTAAAAATATAATTTAATAAAAGTCCAATTCATGTAAAATGTCTAGAAGTTTTCTAAATCTGATTTACCATGCAATAATTCTTGGAAAAAATATATAAAATGCTGAGTGTAGAATATCGTTATAACAATAATAGTAATAATAATAACAAGTAGATAAACTTACATATGAGATCATTGGAAGGTTGAAAGCAGCCGCCATTCTTCCTTCATGAATACAAGTCTCCTGAGGACCAATATAAGCGCTAATATTTTTAGTCCAAAGTTCAGCGGTCATGAAAATACTCGTTTCTTCTTCTCCATAAGTTTCAGCGACCAGGAACTCCAATTTATGTCCGCGTTTGCCTAGTTCACCAGCGTTAACCTTAAAAAATTGCAAGGATGGTATCCACTTTGACGTTTAGTAAGAAGATAAGTATTTTTTATGTTTCTATAGTTCTACAGAATTTTAAATTGTCCAATAGTTTTATTTAAATTAAAAATTTTTATATTGTACAATACGGTATCTTTAAACGTAATACATAATAACAATAACATTTTTTAGTCAAACTAATGATTCAAATTACAACTAAATGATTTAAATTTATAGTATTTAAATTTTACAATATACTAATTATTTAATCAATTTTAATATAAATAATAAATATTTTTATTTTATATTAAATTTTTGACTTCATAAACACTTTTAGATTTTTTTTAAATTAAATTTTCATTTCATTTTAAATAATTTCAATTTATTTATAAATATTTTTGTAAAGGTTCAAAATATTAAAAAAAAAATTTTTATTTTTGAACTAAAAAAAAATGAATCTAAGTTTGACATTAATAAAATTTCTTCTTTAAATTTAATCTAAAATTATTTTTTCAATAAAATTTAATTTAAAAAAATTAATTTTAATTACAATTTTATCAAGTTTAAATTACTTGAAAAGTATACAGAAATATTTCATTTCGAAAAAATTTTTATAAGTTTGATATTAACCAAATTTCTTCTTAAAATTTTTTTATCAACTCATCCACTGGTCCTTGACTAATTATAAGAAACAAAGTGACTATTAATTGACTGAAACAAGTCTATTTTTTACAGCCGAAGACGTAATAAAATACTCCTAAAGAAGAAAGAGTTACGGGGATAAAAAAAAGTTGTTAAAAACATAAAACACTTAACGATCGAGCCAAGATTTTTTTCTTCCAAGACCAAGAGCAAGATCAAGCGGTGAAAGCTATGGGAAATAATTCCGGCTGCTGTAAAATCCACGTCCAAAAATTAAAATCGTGGTTTACGCGTCATTAACACCACTCACTATTGCTTTATTTGAAGTAAAATAAAAAATTAATTTTAACGAGTGTTTTCAAGTCCTTGAATTATCTCCGAAATTCACCATCAATCATTTATCGGAAATTATTAATTAATATTGATAATAATAAGCGATACCTCTTGAACAGCGAGAGTGATAGCTCCAGAGATACGAGTACCAGGTCTCTGGTACTCGAAATCGTCAGGCCGTCTCTTGGAACCGGTGATGTAGCCGAGGGTGAAGGTCTTCGCGTTGACAATCTCGTTGACCAAAACGTGAATCGTTGTCAGCAAGAGACACGCCCGTTCCACGTTTACTAGTCGCATGCCACTCTGATCTGCAAGCATAATTTACTTTGTTTTAAATTTAAATTTAAATAAAAAAGAAGAAATAAAATAAAACATCAGGGATTGCGACATCACATCGGCTCTGAGATTACTATCGATATACATGACAAATTATCCAAGTGAATTGACAATGAAAGATCGAGATTTAAATCGATGTAATGGTAAGTAACTATACTTGGTACATTGAAGTAGTACAACCAAACCTTGGTCTAGCGCGTAGAAAGAATAGAAGAGATCTTAACTCTGGAGATTTTAACTAGACATCTTGACAAAATATCTAACGTGTTAAAAGTAATATGTAATATTGTATTAATAATGACAAACTGATCGTCTATGTCGGCATAAAATGAATTAGTCATGTTAGTGAATAGACGCGGAAGTTCTGTGACTAACTAATTCGTAAAGTTTTTTTTTTTTTTTTTTTTTTTTTTTTTTTTTTTTTTTTTCGTAATCGTAAACATATTTTTAATCCTGTTGTCCTAGATGCGGCGATGATCTAATCATTTATTCTGTGTATAGACCATACTGTAGTCTTTTGTATTTTGAATCATGTTCATTCGATTAATCGTTTCACTGTTCTCTGTTGTCATAATTGAGTAATATTGTTTTTATAATTAATCTCTGTATTAATGAAGTATTCATTTAAAATTATGATTTGTTTATTTTTTTTTTAATGTTAATTCATTTGGGACTAAAGAAGAAAATTTTGTTGATTATTTATACAGATTTTAAAATTTTATTTGCTTTTTTAAAATACTGAAATTATGACAATATTGTTTTTATGTAATAAATAATTTATTTAAAAAATTTAAAAAAAGTATGATTGTAAAGTTTTTTAAGTATTTTATGAATTTATTTGTTTGAAACAAAATCTAAAAAATATAATAAAAATTTAATTCTTTTTTTTAAAGTATTATAAAATTGTGTTTGTATAACAGTGAATGGGTAATGTAACTATATTAGGGTAGGAAGTATATAATACAATATAATGTGATTTTAGACTTACGGAATTACTAATGGTATTATCGAGTTGTACTGAAGTTAAGTCACATTAGGAGTTCTCGTGGTGATAATGGACGAAACTGCTGCCAAGAAAAATCATTGAGGTTTCTTGATACTGAGACGTTCATTGGTATCCCGTCGATTTTTGATAAAATCATTTCCGCATCTTTAAAAGCAACGCTGGTTTTATTCTGGTGAATAAATAAATTCTTTTTTTATTATTATTTTATGTTATTCTGGTCATTTTATAGTATAGATTTTTTAATTGTAGAAAAATAAAGTTTAAAAAATTTTCAAATTAAGTAAAAAAAATTTTTGGGTTGAAAAATTTTTGTCTTGATTATTTTTTTTTTTTTTTTTTTTTTTTTTCAGTGTATAAAACTTGATATTAAGTATGACAATAAAGTTAGCAGACGTCTAAAAATTTTTTTTTTTTTTTTGTTTTTTTTTTTCAGTGTATAAAACTTGATATTAAGTATGACAATAAAGTTAGCAGACGTCTAAAAATTTTTGATTTATTTTTATTAATTAAATTACAACTAAAAAGATATTTATAAAAAATTGCACTTATAGTTTTTCGAGTTTTTTACATGTGAAATTTTTTTTTTTAATTGTTTAATTGAAATTTTTTCAATAAAAAAATTTGTAAAAATTTTTTAATGTCGGCTAACTTTATTTTCATTATTGAGTACCAATATTTGTCTTAATCAATACACTTTATATAAAAAATTGAATTGATATTCTAATAAAATTATTTCTTCTTATAATATTGCTTTTGAGTTTCTTTCAATTTTTTATTATTATTATCATTTTAAAAAATTATAAAATTAGGATAAAATAATGATAAAAAAATTTTACGTAACAATTGAACTTAAAACGAAAGAGTGTGAACAAGTCACGACACTTACTCGTGTCGAGTAAAAAAAGGGAGATTAAATACATGTATGTAATGCGGGAGAGCTTGAGGCGAATCGTATGAAGATCGTGAGTGATTTACGTACTCGTTTACTATGGTGTCTTTCTAGCTCATGCCGATTGCGAAATAACGAATAACAAGAACACACGTCGTAAACGCCTTTGAACTATAGACAAATGTAATTTATAAGTATATATTAATAATATTATTTATAAATATATACATATATATTTAACATTTTATATTTTCTAAGCTATACTCGTTCTAATTATACATTATTTTTTCAAGATCCATAACATGTTTTTTTTTTTTTTTTCTACTTTATTTTAGTTTTACCGTCGAACATTTTTTTTGTTACCTCGAAAACTCAACATTTAAAAAACGAAAGTTTATCGCTTATTATGATAATTACATTGCCGTAAAAAATTGATCAATACACGAAATATTAAATTGCATAATAATCAACATTAATTTATTCTTGATCGTAAATAAATAATATAAAATTTTTATATTTTTCTGCATTATACCAATAGTTAAATTTTAATTATCTGTTATACCTGTTTAATAATAATTTATCTTGCGTGTGATTGTGTAATCAGTCGACGAACTTTTCTGGGAAAAATTAGTGTATTTTATTTATTTTTTCATAGATTTTATTTTAATTCAATTTACATAATAATATTTTTTAACAAAAAATATCCGTGCATTGTTGATGAATAGAGAATTTATAATTTATAATAAACATTGACAAGGTTGTAAATGATCCTACTTATCCACTTGTTAAATTACATTAAATCCACGCCTGTGGGTCTGAGAGTCGCTGTAAAAAATATGAAATTTATTCGTGAGACATGGACACGGTAATTCGCTTGTCAAAAGTTAAGAAAACGACATGTGCTCTTTTCAAGTGTAAATATTTTTAATAAAAAATTAATCTCAAAAATAATTTTTTTTTTATTAAAATTATTGTTATTTTTTTTTTACATATAAGATTATAATTTATGTAACATTTAATTATGTCATGACAGTTTAAGTTCATCGAAATCAGATCAGTAATTGTCTTGAGATTTATACCTAACAAGTTTGAAAAAAAAAAAAAAATTATATTACTATATATATCACGCAACTATTCGCGAGATAAAAAAACCCGTGTATTTATATACTTCTTTTATGTCCCGGTAAAAATATGCCGTCGACAGTTTTCACGCACAGATATTATATATTATTCATTATTATTGCTGTTGTTTGTTTTTTTTTTCTTTCGGCTTTTTTCGCAAGTCAATTGAAAAGTACAAAAAGTGTTGAAAAGAGCTTGCAAATAAATAAAGTCACGAATTGGTGGATGTCAGATGCACGAGAACGATAACGAGTCAGTACCCAATCTTGGGAGTTATCTTACAACTGTCACGATCATAAAGTACACCGGCAATCGACCTAACTATTTCAATTGCTCTGTGTCGAATATTTTATATCCTAAATAAATTAATCAACTTTATTCCCTTCACTCTTTAACAATTTTTTTTTATTTTATTGCAATTTTTAAAATTATAATTAATATTTTATTTATTTATTTAAGAACTTAAAATTAAATTAATATTAATGGGTTATTGATTAAGAATCTGATTTTAATTTTTACTTTGATGAAATGTTCAAACTTTACTTTGCAAAAAATTATTTTTCAGTGAAAAGTCGGTGCAATAAAAATAGAACTAATTTATATAAAAATCTAAAACAAAATAAATAGAAATAGTGAAAGCAATAAGAACGAATTGGATCCTAAAAAAAATTAGAAATTACTTTCACTATATTCTATATCTAAAGGTATTGAAGATTAACAATTTGTTATATTAACTTGCTGTTGAATGAAATGTGTGCCACATAATATGAAGGAGACGTTAAGTAAAAAGAGAATGAGAAACAATTTAGTTATACTTTTATTACAATCACGTTTTCACTAGCCCGTATAGTGTTTTAAAGTTTATCGAATCAATTTCTACTAACATATCACTCGCGTTGTAACTTTTAACTCAACAGTTTTTAGATATAATGAAATTCATTTTTTTTTATTATGTTCGACCTAAATTTTGTCCCTTAAATTTAAAGCTTTTATCATACTTATCTTTAATGTAAATTATCTTATTAATAATAAGAGGAATAATAATTTTTCTTAATTTAAATTGATGTCAAAATTTATTTATGATCAATCGTTCAATATAAACGTTTGAGAAACAAACTCATTGAAATTAGAATTATTATTAGTGGCCCTGTTAATGGCAATAGCTGTTGGGCCTAAGTGTAAATAAATAAATAAATAAATAAATAAATTTGTTTACAAAAAATTTATGGAAGAAGAAATCATTTGAATTTATTTAAAAAAATAATTATTCATATTGAAAAATGAAAAAACTTTTTAAAAGAATTTTATCAATAATTTATTGATAAAAAGCGAAATACAAAAAATTTATAAAAGAAAAATTCATTTAAATATTGAAAAATTTTTTAAATAATTTTAAATTTAAAAATTCATTTAAATATTGAAATAAAAAATTTTTTAGTATTGAGATTTGAAAAAACTTTTTAAAAGAATTTTAATAATAATTTATTAATGAAAAGTTAAAAAAATTTATACAAAATTGAAAATAAAAGAAGTTTATAAGCAATAAGAAGAAATGAGTATAATTAAAATATTAACCTACCTGAAAAAAAAAAAACCCACTATAAAATGATCACAAAATATAAGTTAGAGAGTAAAAATAATTCTTCTTAACTGACAAGTTAAGTTTGACAAAAAAATTAAAAAACAAGAATAATTGAAAGTTTCTAAGTACATGAAAAATTGTATGAAAAGTGAGGGAGGACAGCGACAGTAGTCGAAGACGCGCGCGACCAGACTGGTCGTTCATTCACCAAGATGCCAGAATATACTCAACTAAAAACAGTGTAGAGTAAAGCTGGTATGGAGCGTAGAGCTGCAATCGCATCCTCAGGGGGGTAATCGCACTACATTTGTGGCGCATGACCACCCACAGGATCACTTCCCTTGAGAACATGATCAGACGAAGCTTTCTTCCTATACACCTTTATCCACCCACCTTTGGATTTTCCTTTTTAAAGGAAAGAAAAATATAAAGAAGAAAATCGCAACAATAAAACTTTAAGTACCCATGACCAACATCTTTGTGGTTTTATCACTCACTTGGAAAATTTATTAAGGAAACTTAACTTTTCAACTCAACATTAAATTATTTTTATTTTTTTCAAAGTAAATTTATAACTTAAATTTTTTATTTTAAAAGTTATATATTTGATAATGAATTGACATTAAAATTTGTTGATTAAATTTGATACTTTTCATTTCGTTTTTTTTTTTTTTTTTTACACAGAAAATACTTCAATGAATATTTTAAGCAATTATAAATGATTGGTCAAACAATAGTAGTTAAATATTTGGACTGCAATTTAGAGATTTTTCATTTTATCACAAACATTTTTGAGGTATTTTACTAAAATTAAAAAATCAGCAGACATCTGACAATTTTATAATTTTATTTAAAAAATAAATTAATCCATATCTCTGTAAAGCTTTTCCATATAGAGTAAATAAATAATTTAATTTACCACTTTTAACATGACACTGAAGTTGACAGACATTAGAAATTTTTTTAATGATGTTATAGCAATTAAATTTATTTAAAAAAAAAATGACAAAAAATTCCACATGTAAAATTTAAAAAAAAAAAAATTGTTAGTGAAATTTTTAAATTTCAGTGTCATCTTTTAACAATGCATAGAGTTAATAAAAGTTCTACTGAATTTACATAAATGTTAATAAAAAAAAATAACATATTACTTTCATTATTATTTTGAATCTCAATTTCACTAAAATTAGTTGGTACCATGTACGTCCATAATACCCTTGCATCTTGCTTTAAGCTTCGCCAGATGTTAATTAAATTGTTTCCAACCAGGACAAACTTTTTGCGCGACGTACTTGGATTCGATTAATGAATTTATTCATTATTGCAATTACAGCTTGGCCTGTGTAATGTGCAGTATCAAACAAAACAATGCAAGACACAAAGAAAAAACATCATTTAATGAACCGCGTATAGGACGGTGAGTGTCAAAATTTCCCACTGATATTATAATCTCCGTAGATCTCATCTGAAATTTAAAGAAGATAAATTATTTAGATTAATGCAGATTATTAAACTTATTGTCTTCTTTACTCACCGATTTCTTCTTTGAAACAAGTCACGTGCTCATACATGATACACCAGCGTTCTTAATCACAATAAATATAGATTCTTACGTAATGCGCCTGTAACCTGTAAAAAAAAATAAAAAAAAGTATAAAGAATAAGCGAAAAAAAGTTAAATAAAGAAAGCCAGATTATTTTAAAACAGGATAAATGTATCCCATAAACTGTAATTTAATTCCCGTTTTTTACCCTTTAGCGATCGTTGTCGGAAAGTTTTCCGCCAAAGTAAAGCCTTGTGCTCCGACACCGACATCTCATCAGGTATGGACTCTATCATGCTTGCACGAGTTTTCTTTACAGTAAAACTTGAAACGAAATAACTCACTGGCATACTTTCGCGACGATAAATCGTTCCCAATGGATTCGCGTCCATGTACGTATCTATACACACATGTATATACAATATACTTGTACATAATTGCGTGTATATATTACGTCCATACATCTGTATTAGTCTTCTCCTATCTTCTATCTCCTATCGTAAGTTAACGTATACACGCATGCACTTAGAGACGGAAGCGGAAGCAATGTTTCTCCGGATATTTGACCACGCTCGGGGGAAAAATTTAATAAACTTTTTAATTTTATTTATTTCTTATTTAATTTCATTATTTTTAACTAGAATAAGTTATAATTTATTATTTATCTAGGTATTGAGTTTTTCATTTTCAATAAAAAATTCAAAAAATTTATGATATAATGAAATATTAATCACTAGCAACCTTGCAGTCACTATGTGACTGCCGAGACTTATGAACTATAAATAAATAAAATTTTGCTTTACTAAATAATGACTTTTGTTAAATTGCACTGTACTTCCTTAACTATTGACGTTTTTAAAGATATAAGCTCATGATATAAGATGTTACACTCATCAAGAGCTTTCATTTGAGTACCCACATGCATTTTGATATATTTTTCATATATACATATATATATATAATATATATAAATATATGAAAAAATGATGTGGGTACTTAAATGAAAGGTCTTGATGAGTGTAACATCTGGATGAGCTTATATCTTTAAAAATGTCAATAGTTCACAAGATACAGGGTAATTTCTTAATTATGTATCTAGAGATAGAGCATTTTCGAATAGAGCCTAAATACTTATCATCATAAATTTGCTATTGGTGAGAATGATATGAAACCATGAAAAGGCACAACTCCAGGTCAAGACTTTTCCAACGATACCAAATTTAATCATAAAAACCCATTTTATCATATATAAATATAGAAATTTAAAAATTTTTTAATTCTCATTAATTAAATAAGAATTTAAAAAAATATTTTTTAAAAATTGCACTTATAGTTTTTCAAATCTTCTACATGTGAAAATTTTCTTTTTACTTTTTAATAAGATTATTCTTAAAAATTGTTCAAATGTTTCATTTTTATCATTAACCATTATTTTTACAGACCATTATTTGTAATTAATCACTATCATTTATCGTATGACTTAATTACATCTAATAATCGGTGTTGTATTTCCTACCGTCAAAGTTTAAATCTACGTCTACACTAATAAAATAGTGTAGTCAAACTCGAGTATGAGAGTATATTCAAATTACGTCAGTCTACAAAATAATAACTCAACATGTTTTAAAAATGTCATTTTTTTTGTTAAACAATTTCAACTCGTTTCATCGGTTATAAATTACTCTCTAAATTTAAAAACAATTTTTTTCTTGAGTAATTAAAAAAAAAGTCTTTTTTCGATCCACTATTTCACAATTTTGTGATTCAAAAACTTTATAGAAGTCGCTGATAAGATACTAGTTATCAAAATCGTTAATACTAATTAATACTTGAAAAAAAAAGTCTATTAAAAATTTTTAACACTCATTTGAGCAAATAAAGATACCCTGTAAACATAAAAATTTTTATAGTCTTCACGTTAAATTTTTAAATAATTTTTTTACCAAATTTTTTAATGGCTGTCTTACTTCATACCATTATAATTTTTTTTATAAATTTTTTAGTGATTCAAAACAAATTAACTGAAGGATGTTCATGTCTTTCTTTAAATTATAAAGAGAAAATAATGATTGCAGATTTGGGTAACTAAATTAACAATTTTTAATTTTTAACAATTATTCATTAATAATAATTGTTATGATTAGCATTAATGTTGGTGTTTTTAAAAATCTGTCCCCATTTCTACTGAATTAATTGGTGTCATGATAAATTAAATTTTATGTTTATACAGTTTTAAAAATACAAGTTAAGGAACATCAAAAATACAATCTTCACCCATATTATAATCATCTGTACAATTTTACATTGCTGAAAGCTTATAAGGTAAGATTTAAAACAAAAAAATGCGGCTACTTACTAATAATCTAATTGAATTTCTTTAAAGGTGTCACAGTATTCACCGTACTTAAATCAAAACTACTTGATCACACCATGCGACAATTGCTGGTGTGGAATTAGAATGCGATGTAATGAAACATTAATAGTTAGTGGTATAATAAAAAATGATGTCCTAACTACTGATTTATGCTTTTTTCACGTTCAAGGAGAAAAAAATATTACTGACTATGACCATGATCATAAAATATTTTACTTAAAATAAAAAAAAAATCAGTAACTAACATTAAAAAAATGATGAAACTAATTTTAAAAATAAGTACTTACATAACAATATTTTCAATTTTATTTGATTATCTACTTTTTAAAAATTGACATTTAATAAATTTGTATCATTCAATCCTTTATTTTACATGAAAAATTGTAGAAAATTTTTTCAATAAAATTCTCGACTCTTCTTGAGAAATCTAAAAAAATGTGTATTAAATTTTTTAAACTTAATAAATTAATATTATATTAAAAATAAATCACCTTACCTTTTGTTATTCTAATTCCGCTTATCAATTTTATCAACAAATTTATAAATTTAAGTGATAAATATATTGAAAAGTTATAAATAAGTTAATTGCAAAGAAGATAAAATTTTTTTTTCATTCGACACATGCACTGGAGTGCGGAAGATATGGAGCTAATCTTCTTGCAATTAAACCAATTTCATAGTTTCGATACTTGAACGTATCGTGCATAGTGTAACTATAAACAAATAACTCTTCTACACAAAAAAGATCACAATTGATGATTTAAATTGCTAAATAACAATAATTAGAGTTATGTAACGGTGTGTAATTAAAAAACAGATAAAATAGAGTAATGTAACTATGCAATATTTATGTATTATTTTTCCTAGAAAAAGGAACAAATTGGTATCTCCCACTGGTTCGTTTGTGTATAAATATTCGATTTATTGTTCAGGCTTTTTCAGTAGAATAAAATACGCAAACTTTGTTGGGCTGTTTGATTACATAGAACCTGCAACAAAAAATTATAAAAATGAAAAACTTCATTTTTTCCATCGGTTTACTGAGTATATACTTTGCTGTAAGTCAATTTGATAATAAGTTTCTGAAAGTTTGTGTAAATGATTTATTGAAATTAAATTTTATAGACAACAGCGAATTCACTGCTAACAGAAACAAGTCCTTTCCGAAGAACTTTATCAGAAAATAGAGAATGGTGTTTACATCTGTTAAGTAATCGTAAGTGATTAAAATTCCTAAGTATACACTGAGAATTTCTCAATTTAATTAAAAAAATCAATTTTTTTCTCACCATAACTTTCTTGTTTAAAAAAAGTTTTTTATATTTGAAAAAAAAAAATATTTTAGATAAGCAACTGGCGAGATTTAATCAAAAATTTTATTTTCTCAAATTTAGAAAATTTTTTTTCAACAAGAAAGTTACTGTGAGAAAAATTTTAATTCTTTCAATTAAGATATGAAATTTTTGAAAATTTTCAACATATAATTTCTTTATCTTACACTGATAAAAAAAAATAAACTTATTTAAAGAGAAAAATTCTTGATGTAAGGAAATAATTTTTAAGAATTTTGAATATCTTCAATCAAGTGGAAAAATTTTTGATCCAAGAAATTATTCTTCATTTATTAAGTAAATTTGACCTTCTCTATTCAAGAATTTTTTAACTTGAATCTAATTAATTTTTTTCATCAGTGCTCTGTTCTTTAATCACTCTTTTATTATTATAAACAATTTTGTTTTGATCATGTAGAAACGAATGGAGTGAATATAACTGAAAACAGCCCAAATTTTCGGTGCTACCAAACATGTTTGGTAAAACGTAAAGGATACGTAAGTAATAGAGATTTATTATTAATAAAAAATACCTGAGCTAATTGAACATTTACAAAATATGTTTTAGTTGCAAGATGGAAAAATTCTACTTGATAAGTATGAAAAAATGGTAGACATTATGATACAAAGAAACAAACAACTCTTAATGAATGCTACTAAAGCTTGCATTGAAGAAGGTAAAAATATAATCTTTGTTATTTAATTATGAAAAAGCTTTGATAATAATTGATAAGCCATAATTAACTTATTTGTTTATTTTGTTCTGTTCTAATGAAGCTGAGAAAGGTGAGACTGAATGCGATGTAGGAGCTCTGTTTTTAGCATGCCACCGCAGGGAAATCATCAAGCATTACGGTCGTAATTATACTCGTAGTTTTGATGGAAATCACCATCAACACCTAACACAGCCAATGTCAACAGATTAATATTTATAACGATAAAAGTATGAGGTCCAATAATTTCCTTTAATTGTCTTTTACAAAATTTCTAACATCTACGTCTTTTTATTTTTTAAATTGTACCTTTATTTTTGTTGTTATTGTTTAAATATTTATCATAATTGTCATTTTTAAGGTTTTTATCAATATATAATTAGTTTCAAAATATTCCTTTAAATTATTATTTACTGGTGGTGGAATGTCACTGATTTTGTGACAACATAAAAAAATTGGGAATATTTTTTCTTGTTCTTTTTTTTCTGTAAACTGTACTTAGATCTTAAAATAAAAAATTTGCAATTAATATTTATTGTCAATAATTGAGTGTTCTAAAAAAAAAAAACCATTTTTTTTTATTCCAAGTCTTATTTCAAAACCTCCATTTATGAATTTATTTATTTATTTATTTATCTGGTAAAGAATTCTATCGAGGTGCAAAGACACCTGTTTATAGAACCAGTACAAAAATATCAATTTTACAATATATATACTTTTTACAAAATTTTTGTTGATAATACAATGCAAAAAGATAAATAAGTACAAAAAGTAATAAATTTATAAAGAAAGAAATACAAAATTATAAATAATTTTCATAAAAAAAAATATCCAATAATTCGGTTCGCTAGATTTTGAGAAATCTCAAAAATAAAATTTTAAAAAAATCGTTTTTTTCGGAATAACTTCTAAACGGCTCTACCGATCAATTCCAAAAACTAATCCGCTCTTAAGTTTGAAAAACCACGTCGATTGCTACCAGTCCCGTCAAAATCAGTTGAGTCGTTCAAGAGTTATCGAAAATGAAAAATTTCGAAAAAAGTGTTTTTTCACATAACTTCGACATTTTTCTTTGGATCGTTTTTGATGAAATAAAATAATTATTAGAGCCCAAAAAACTACGTCGATCGCCACCAAGAACGTGAAAATCGGTTAATTAGTTCATTAGATATCGTTGTCGAAAAAATTCGGAAAAAGTGAATTTTTCAAATTTCTCTAAGATTTTCGGTTCGATCAGTTTATGTTAAAAATTATATCATAGATTCTGAAAATCTGCGTGGATTACTGCAAACTACGTAAAAATCCGTTCATTCATTCAGAAATTATTGCAGTTTGAAAATTCAAAAAATACTCTTTTATTAAACTTTTATCAGATTTTTAAGCTTGTCGGCTTAAAACAGCTAACTCTATGATCTCAGAGAGCTTGAAATAACATACAAATTATTTTTTTGAGTTCAAAGAGCGCTTTTTAAGCGCTTAGATATGGAATTAGCGGGAAGTTGCAGGGATGGCCTTAAGAGTCAATCGTTTTCCAGATTTTTTATAAATTCTTCACAAACTGTTTTCTTAAAAATAAAAGAATTATCGAATGTTCTTTTTCAATATCAAATTTATAAAACTGTGATTAAACTCACACAGAAAAAAAGGTTCACTTGAGCTAAGAATATATTTTTTTTCCTAATTATTTTCTTGAGCGAAAAGGAATAGTATTTTTCTTACCTGGGGCAGGAAAATAAGAAATGTCTCAGATTACATGTAATTGTTGACCGAGGCGAAGCCGAGGTCGACAAACATGTGATCTGAGGCTTTCTTATTTCCTGCCCGTGGTGAGAATACTATTTTTCTCCTCGACGGAGGCGGAAAGCGGCATTTTCATTTAGCGCAGCGAGCGGAAAATTGACGCTTTCCGCACGGAGGGGAGAAAAAGTTTTTTTCCACCTAGGAAATTTTTCCCTCCTGTAAAGAAACTGGTATACCTGTGTGAAGAATACCAAAGTTTTTTTCCTACTCTAATAAGTATGGTGATTTTTAAAAAACTCGGTTTCCTTCTCAGCAAAATACCAAAATAAAAATATGGCCGACTTAACCTCATTTGACATGTCATTTAACTTAGCATATATTTAATAATTTGTTAAATTCTATAACAAATAAATTATGGCAAAAAAATTATAAAAATAAATTGACATTTGAAAATTTTTAAAACTAAAAAATGCAATTTTTTAAAAATGATTTTTTGGGACAAATTTTTTCGTTACATAAAATTAAAAAAATGTTAAGTGACTGCTAACTTTAATGTCATTCATTTGACACAGATGCATACGAAATGTTTATGATACAGTGGATTTTTTTTATTATAATTAATAAATTAATAATTATTAATTTATCAATTATAATTAAATTTAAGAAAATTAAATAAATTAAATTGTAATAATTAAATTTAAGAATGACACTGAAGTTGACAGACATTAAAAATTTTTTTAGAATTTTATGGCAATTAAATTATTATAAAAAAAAATTTAACTAAAAAATTCCACATGTGAAAATTAATAAAAATAAACAATAAATTAGTATATACAACTTTCCTATGATCTAAACAAACACGCCAGGACTGTGAAATTGGAGGGAAGTCAGAGAATTGGCGGCGCCACCGCTGCGGTTGCTATGGTAACGCAGTATAAAGTTTTAGCTTCAGACAAAAATTAGGTATTCTCAGGAAAAAAATACCAGTTTTTTTATATCAAGAAAACGTATATTGGATATAAAAAAACTTGCATAAAAATACTTTGTATTCTGGGTGGAAAAAAACTTTTTTTTCAGTGTACATTTTCTGATTAATTTTCTTGTGCGCAAAAAAATATTAAAAATAAAAACGCAGACTGATTGAAGAAAAAAAAATAAATATTAGATAATCTAACTTGATAATAAAAATAAAAAAAAAAAAACGCTTATCCAAGAAGATTATTCCAAAGAATCTATTGATTTAAATTAAACAGAAAGAATTGTATCCCGAGTAAAATTTACTCAAACTTAACGCAATTTTTTTATTCAAAATCTTTTAACTCGATAAAAAATAATTAAATTATTCATAATATTCGTTCAAGTTCTTCATATGTATTAAAAAAATTCTTTGAAAACCACATCAATCGATGGTCATTCATAATTTTATTATTTTTTTTTTTTTTTTATAATTTACTAAAGAACAAATATCAATTTTCTTACCTGTCGCTCATCTAATCCCAAATCTTTTGCGACTTTGAGTCTTTTTATACGACACAAGTACTTGTTCTGGGCGATAAACTCCCTCTCCAGATGAAAAATTTGATGGTCAGTAAAAGCAGTTCTCTTTCTGCGCTCCGAATTGAATTCTGTAACAAACAAACGAAAATTATTAATCTCCGTACAATAAATTCAATGAATGTGGACTCAAAAATCAGAACTTGTTTGTGAAAAATACACAAGAAAAATCCTATAATATACATATGAGATTGATGACTACTATGAAGTTAGTTAAATATTTAAAATTAATTTAAAATTTATCATTCGAACAGTGCAAATAAAAAAAAAAATCCTACCTTTCTTTACAATTTCTTGGTCTATGGATAATATAATTTCTTCAAACGACTCAGCCATTCTTATTAAAATTTACCGGTTTAATATGTTGAGTTGAAAATAATTCTATGAATTGTTGTAGAAGTTCACTATAAAGTTAAGTGCACAAATTACTGCGAAGAAAATACTTCAGAAGATTCGAAGGAACTGATGCATTGAGTTTCGATGACTAGTTATATATGCTTGAAGAGGGCCAAATCTACTTCGTTTTTGAACCCAAAATCTCATTGACTGTGAAAATAGGGAGGTTCACTGCACTTTTGCGTTCTAAAGAGTGGGGAGTCTTTCACCCTATAACCGAGGGCTTATTGCACTTAAAATGTTCCTGTACAGCAATAATACTGTACATAATAATTTGACTATATTTTTTTTTCTTTGTGTAATTCTTACTACTAACATTAGATGATGACGAGCGTAATTTTATTGTCTAGACAGCAGATTTAAAACATTGATTTGAAAAATTGTGTCTGTCACCTTGAAATGTCGACATCTAATGGAAACTTAATTTTTTCAAAACGGGGTTTAACCAATAACTTTCCGATATTCATAGCAGGAAGTTAAAAATTATAGAGGTCATAATTCAACGGAAAATGAAATAAAGAAAAATTTTTACTTTCTTATAAATTAAAAATCATTCCACATTTATAAAAATTTCATGGTCGTTCTGAAAATTTACCTGATTAAATTCAATTTATCTGTATACTGATAGAAGGATTTATTAACTATTAATAATTTGATTTATTTGAAGATAATAATTTAATTTATTAAATTTTAATAAATATTTTTTAACATTTAATAAATATTTATTTGGGAGAAAAGTACATTTATTAATAGTTCACAAATATTTATTAACAGTTAATAAATATTTTGTTGAGTGAATTTGTTTGGCTTGCAATGTAATTGCAATTAATTTACGTAGAAAAATTCTTAAACTAACAAATTTTTCTTGGTTTAAGTAAGTTTTACTTGATTCAATAATTTTTCGTGTTGATTCAAATTATTAAATTCTTCAAAATTATGTTCTTGTTATAAGAATTTATCTCTTAATTCAAAATAATTTATTTTTTTGTTCAACCTACTTTTGTTTTAAGAAAAGTGTATGGGACAAAAATCGAAGTAATTATCGTTTCTTGAAATCATTTATGAAAAATTTCAAGGGAAATTGGATACTACTGATTTATGACCAAGCATTTTAACGCTTTACTAAAAGACATTTGACCATTTAATATGACGCTAGCAAACCTAATGTTTCATTACAATGCATCTTAATAAGTGATTTAAATCTATATTGCCATTATAACAATACCAAGTAAATTACTGCCAGGTGAACTGCTAATCCCTTTTAAAACAAACAATGGCTCTTACAATTATTCTTTGGCGCTTTACTGAAAATCCGAGAATTTTTCAACTCTGGAAATTTTGTGTCTTTGAAATTGAATATACATTATACTGAGTAAATGTTAATTTTTTTCATGAATATATCACAATAGCCTTCGAAAATTTTAATTGATTTTAGAAACAAAATAACTTCTACTTTATATATAATAATATATTTATAATTATTATAGTTAATTTTTTATGATTACCATCTTAGACTATTTGTTAATAATCATTATAAATCATATTTTAAATTATATAGTATTTAATATAAAATATAACAATTATTGTAATCACCGTTGACAATATTAAGCGTTACGAGACAGATAAATTTTTTTTTTCATCATAAAAAAATTCAAATATTAATAAAAAATTCTTTTGCCAGTATGAAATTTTGATAAATATTCTTGCCAACAGTATAAAATAATTTTTATTTAGAAGAAAATTTTGTTGTTTATATTAAAAAACAATTCAAATTGAAAAGAATATCCAGATTAAAAAAAAAAAAATTACAATTGCTAATATAATTCAAATTAAATAAAAAATCAAACTTTGACAAAAAAAAATTTTTAATAAAAATTTAGAAACACAAATTCAGACAAAACCAGATTTTAACAATAATTAAAATTTTGAGAAAATCATTTAGATTCTATAAAAAAATATCAAACGTTTAAAAAAATGAATTTCTCTTTGAATATTATACTTTTTAACATAATTACGTATAATAATTAATATTTAAAATTTAAACCATCAGAATCATTTCATTATTAAACAAAATGATTCCACAATGTTAAATGCCGATATGAGATATGATTTAAAATGATTAACATAATTTGATAGAATTAAAAGTGATCAAAAAATTAATAATTTTTAAACGTATCAAATCGTTTTGTTTAATTATAATTATGATATTGATCACTATCATGTCAGTGTTCTTGATTTAAATTCATTTATTAGTATTAAGATTTTTTAGCTTTCTATGTTATAAAAAAAAAAAAAAACATTTATGATATTAGACAATTTTTATTGAAAAATTAACAAAAATTTTTCAGGAATTCTTTGTGGGCCGAAGTAACGGCAATTGATCATTTAGAAGAATTTTATAATGCTCGCTTTAATTTTTTTTCCTTTTTTCAATCAATATTACTGTAATAATTATTATTCAACATTAAGTAAAAATGTGATATGAGCACTGTAATAAATTTATACTCAAAAATGACAAACTTAATGTATTGTTGAAGATTTTGCGAGAGTTAATACTTCAAGACCAAATAAAATTATTTATTAATTTATCTATCAATAAAAAATATTTCACATTGTGACAATAAATGGTTGTTTTTTTAATTATTTATTTAAAAAACATAAATTTAATAAAAATAAAGTTTGAAAATAGCTAAAATATTTGGGTAAGAGCTGTTCATGCCAAAAAGAGAATAGCTTTCCCCTTCTCTTTTAAAAACTGTAAAACTAATGAGCTTTTCCATTACAACCTCTCAATCAGAGGGTAAGAAAACCTTTTAAGTCCCGACCCATTTCATCCCCACTTTGAGCACCTTGGCCATAAAGGCGTTGCATACCTTTTGCAAAAATTTGGTATATAAATCCCTAAATTTTTGCTTTCCTCATTATTTTCAAACTATTACCTGTGTAATTAGTTAACTAGCATTTCCTTTGCTTATAGTCTGAATAATAATTTTGTGTTAATAAAATAGAAGATATTTTTTTCTTCAAACCAAAAAATCCAGTGACTAAGTTGAACGTGTAATTTGGCCACTTGTTTCCGTGAAAAATGTCTAAAACGTATGTATTTTGTCAATTTTCATTTATTAAATATAATTGTTAATAATGAAACAAAAAAAAATTTCAATATTAACAGAAATTGATTTTTTTTTCCAGTTAAAAATCATCTTCTGTCTCCCGTGGTCACTGTTCTTGATAATAATGGAGTCAACGTTGAAACTTTCCATCAATACCGAAAAATGGTTATTCACGTATGACCAATGGATGAATACACCTAGCAGAAAGCAAGGGCTAGATGCAGAAAAAGAGCTGAAGTACCGCCAGGAATCAGCGAGCTTGATCTCCGACGCTGGTCAGGTCCTGAAGCTCTCAATGGGGCTAATAAACAGTGCTGTGGTTTACATGCATCGGTTTTACATGTATCATTCAATCTTAAAGTTTCATCGATACACCACAGCTTGTACTGCGCTGTATTTAGCAGCGAAAGTTGGAAACGATTTTCGAAAATACGAACACGTGTATGCTGCTTGCATAAAGTTCTTTGATGAAAGTGGTGTATCTGTCGAGGCCATTAAGGAATGGAAAATGGATCAAGAAAATATCTTTTTTGATGAGACAATAATGCTCCAAACTTTGGGCTTTGAAGTAGACATCGAACTGCCTCATACTCACATCATCAAGTGCCTGGTTTTGATAAACGCTGATAAAAATCCAGATATTAGCAAGACGTCTTATCTTCTGGCGACCCAGTTAATACAGCTGACGACTTTTAGTATTCACTTTGAGTCCTCGGTGATTGCTTGCATCGCTATTTACATTACTCTAAAGTGGACCAACTGGGAGATTCATCTCAGCAGCGAGGGCAAAGAGTGGTTCTCGTATGTTGAATCTACTGTGACTATCGAATTGATGGACCAAGCGGTCGAAGTCTTCCTGGACATCTATCGAGAGTCTCCCTGCAGAATGAGGAGGACATTTGACGCCATTTATGAAAAGTACAATAATACTTTATACCCAAAAGAAATTCTACTTCAAGAATACATGAAGAGAAAACCTTCAGACAATTCAGCAACCAGAATTCCTATGGATTTGCCGCTTCCGAAATTTTCTGTTGAATTTCAGACTTCTCTTTCAATGGCAGCTAAAAAGTGTCCTGTAATACGAAAACGAAAACACTTTAGTTAATCATCATACACTTGATAGATCTGAAAATAATTTGTAAATTATGACTTAGTACAGAATGATAGTTTTAGTTGGTGAATCATTGTAAATTTTAATGCCATTAATACTCACAATATTAATGATACCTATTATAGGTATTTTTTTATTTTAATTCTTAAAGATTTTACCGATGATTGCATGTGTTAAAATTTTAAGAATTAAAAAGTTCAAAGACTGGTTTTACACATAATAACTATATTTAGTTATTATATTTTATAAATTTGACTGAAGAAAATTGTACGTCATTCGAACGGAGTTTTAATTTTTTCATTCATGAATAAAAACATGATAATGATAATTATCAATTTTATGAATTTTTTTTTATTTATTTAATAAATTATTAATTTGAATTTCAGATAGGGTAAATGCACCAGTTGTTGACTGGTCACCAATTAGTTGACCGATGTATAAAAAAGTTAATTAATTAATATTTTACAAGGGTTTTTTTTTCTTTAAGTATTAAAATAAAAAAATATGGCATTTAATCATCATAATAAAAAATTATGCAATTAATTGGGCAGTGATTATAGCTTTAAAAAAATATTCTGAGTTTGTTTACAACGCAACCAGCCATAAAGCGGTAAAAAATAACAAGCGTACAATTGGAGAGTGAGTGCATTTCATCATTAATTTAGTGATATTTATCGGCATAATGTAAAATATTTTAGTTTTATTATGTTAATTAAAGATCAGATTCCAACTTATTTGAAAAAATAAAGTTAAATTATAAGTTTTAATATTATTTTAAGACCGGTCAACTATTGGATCATTTATTAGACCCTCTGATTTTATCACAATCCAATTAATGACCGTATATTTATAATACTAACTTCTTAACTTCAAAATTAAATCTGTCAAGTGTTTAAAGTACTTTAGTCATTCAATATTTTGTAAATATAAAAATAATCATTATAAAATGTATATTTATAATTAAAATAATACTTAAAATCTTTTTTGATTATTAAATTTTATTTTGTTGTAATTTTTTTAGTGAACGGTTATATCAAAGAACGAATTATTAGAAGAAAAAATTGCTAAGCAATTAAAAAAATAAAAAAGAGTTACAAGCTAGTAAAAAAGTTTTAATTGAAAAAAACAAGGAGAAGAATAAAAAAATTTCAAGTGAATCAGAAGAATTATCGTCATCAAAATGAATTTGTGATTATTTGTGACCTAAAGAAATGTGGCTTTATGTTAATTATTGCTATTATTTATATTATTTTATAAAAAAGTACGATTTAAAATTATATTGTATGTTTAGTTTTGTTAAAGATGTCGTTAATACTTCAAAAGTACTGCATAAATTTAATTAAATACATGTAGTTTATAAAATTACTTATAATTATTTGAGCGGTGTCAATTAATTGGAGAACGGTCGGTCATTTATTGGGTTTCTTCGGTCAATAATTGGTGATTTTAGTATTTCAACATTCAAATAACAAAATTAATATAATTTTGTTAATTTTGATTATAAATAGTTATTAATTATTATTAATTAAGTATTTAACTTTAATAAAATCCATTACAAATTGTTTTTAGTAGGTTAATAGCATTTTTTATAGCTTAGTACAGAAAAAGAAAACCTTAATCGGTCAATAATTGGTGCATTTACCCTACGCATCTTGAATTATTTATTTACCTGTTGCATTAAAAAAATAAACATTTTTTTGAAAAATCCTAAAATTGATAAAGAAAAAAAATATAAATAATTACTTTGATTTTCACTTAAATTAATTAACGTATGGAAAATTTTTCAATTAATAATAAACTATGTTATGATAGAGAAAATTTTATGGTACTGAATTTAGCTGACTGTCATTTTTTTAAATTTCTATAACAAATCAATAACAATAAAAAAATGCTTTTAAAAATTTTCATCAGGAATTTTTTTTAATTTTTACATTTGGAAATTTTAAATTAAATTTTTTTCATAATTATTTCATTGCTAAAAAATTGTAAAAACATTTCTAATATGTCTTTCAACTTCAGTGTGATAAAATTTTTCAAAAAATGGTTTTTTTAGAAATTAAAAAATAAAATATATTGATGGTGTTTTTTTTAACTAGTGGATAAAATTAAAATTGTTGAAAAAATAGAGTAATCTTGTTAAATCATTTGTTAAAAGCAATTTTAAAAATGATCGAATGTCAGTTATGTAATTGCAGGATTATAAAAAAAAAAATAATTTATATCTCCCAGACAACTTACCATAAAAGAAAATCACATTTTTTTTCTCTTATAGAACCATCAATGTGACAAAAACAATTTGAGAACCCCTGATGTTTAAAATCAGTGAACACGTGTGACGTATAGTTGAGTATATATCAACTCCAAACAGTTAAAATTGTCAACATAACAATAATTGACCATATATCCAGCTTATAACCAAATATAAATATTTATAACAAAAAATGACTGAAGAAAATGACGAGGCATGGAAAGAATTATCAGAAATATCAGCAGACCCACCTGAAATGCGAGATCAATGTTCACAATGCAGGTAAATTACGTTTACTTTTAATTTTTTAGAATCAAAATAATGATAACTTTTTAAAATAAATATTTCTTCACAGAAGGCCAATTACTGTGTGTTGGTGTCCAGGATTGCCGAAAACTCCTCTGTGTCCTCAATCACGGATAATAATCCTCCAACATCCCGCAGAGGTTAAACGTTGTCTCCGAACAGCTCCAATGCTCTCTCTGTCTCTTGAACAGAACAAGTGTCTATTATTCCGAGGCAAAAAGTTTCCTTCAAAACACGAAGGGCTGATGGAAATTCTAAAAGAAGAAAACACTATTCTTCTGTATCCATCAGTGGACGCGGTGGATATAAACGAACTTCCTAAAGTTGGAGTTAATGGCCAGAGACCTTATAATCTTGTGCTGTTGGACGGTACTTGGCCTCAAGCAAAAGTATTGTTTTAATATAAAATTATTTAACTTAAAAAATTTTTTTTAAATTAATTGAAACTAGCAACCTTGCAGTCACTATGTGACTTTTATTAAATTGCACTGTAATTTTTTAACTATTGATATTTTTAAAGATATAAGCTCATCCCGATGTTATTCTCTTCAAGAGCTTTCATTTGAGTACCCACATGCATTTT